CTCTCTGCGCAGTTGTCGCCAGCACTGCTCTGTCGCAGCGTCCTGCCACCTCTCCAGATTCTACAGCAGCGCCGCCAGGGCCGCCCGTAGCCCCAGACAACTGCCCCCCCCCCGCCCCCCTCCCCCCCTCCAGCGATAACCACAGATGCTTCTCCCCGATATTCCCAGTAGCGGGAGCCCAGCGACTGAACCAGTCTCGAGACGGAAAGGTGTTCTTATGTTCTCGGTGGCCGCATGCATATAATCCCGATGAGGAATTTCACATCTTTGCCGCAGCTTGTCTACGTCACGACCCCCCCCCCCCCCCCTCATTCTCTCTCACTCGATTATGATCAGCTGAATATGGAGCTTGCCCCTCCGGAGGCCGATCATGTTATGCGCCACGTGACGGGACCAACGGAATGGCGTACCACCATCGTGGTCGGAGGAGGGGCGGGGCGGGGAGATATTACAGAGATCGGTTCGCCTACTTGTCACCCATGCTGGTGATATAAATTCGCATTCGGAACCACGTTTTTCAAGGCCAGTCCATGCGGCTCGTCATATTTCAATATCCGACAATCTGGCGTGACGTAATGCACCTTTAACACTGCCGACTAGACACTTTTGCAACAGCCGACCATTCTCCGTTCCCGGGCCGGCGCTGACGTGTAGCCAGTGATACGGATCGTTCTCGTGCACGCAGAAACAGCAGGCGTCAACCAGCAGCACTAAACGGTAGTTGTTGTTACTCGGTAGTACGGTAGTTTGTTACTAGTACGGTACGGTAGTTTGTTACTCAAATACCATTTCGTGAGACACCGCGTGCTGTCACGCGTAAGAACCTCCACCGGTCCGCTTTTACCACCGCAGGTCAAGTCCTGAAAACACGAGACTTCTCTTCGATCTCCGCAGCTAGATAGCCGCTGTGCCCCATTGTTCGGACCGGGGTGTTCTGCGTGGTATACGGCCTCGGACACCCCTCCCTCGGCGAGCCGCTGCTCATTAGCCAGCAGGGCCTGTGCGCGGTCCGCCTCGGCCCGGCCGGAGCCCGTTCAGCAGGCCGGTCCATAAACAGGCGGCGCCGTGGCCCGGCCGGCGCCGCGCCGCTCGCCCGCTCGAGTGAATGACCTCGCGGTCGTACCGGAAATCTGGCCGCCATTATTTTGTTGGAGTCGCTTCCGGCGGGCGGCTTTCTCGCCGACTGCAGCGGCGCGGAGCCGACAGCCGACGCCGACTGCCAACGCCGGCCGACCAGGCACCTCACACATCACCGGTGAGTGCCGGTGATGTGTGAGGTGTGAGCACCGGTGAGAGAGCCGGCCCGGGCCGCCGCTCGGTCTCGGTCTGGCGAGGGGCGGCCGTCGTCGGACGCGGCGTCAGCGGCCGGCGCTGTGACGACTGGACGCTGCGCCGGCCGCTGCGGTCCGGGGTGAGAGCGTCTCGGCAAACAGACGGGCTGCCGTCGCCGCCGAGTCAGCAGGAGGCGAGCGAGGCCTCGTGACACATCGCAGACGCTGAGCGCCGACCGGGTGTGCTGGGGCACCCCGCTGGAACGTGCATGAGACAAAACCTCTGAGATCAGCTGAGAGGACCTGACATGAGTGGAGGTTTGTATCTCACTTGGCAGCGCCCCCACCTCCGGTGTATATGTCAGCCCCTGCACATTTAACCAAAGACACCGCAAGTTCGTGAAAATCTCTAAAACTCAGCCACCAGTGCAGTGAGAGACGTGGTAACATAAATCAGGTTTTCATCCGATGTGAAAAACGTTTACATGATTTCTAATAGGCGATGTTCGTGTCGTTGTGTTCTGCTTTGTTATGCTACCTTAAAAAAGACAAAAACATTGTTTTTTAAAGTCACCTCCCAGTTCCTAAGTCGCGCTCTTCAGGTACAAGGCGGAATTCCCTTCCGTTTAGCCAAGGCTCTTCGCATACCTTCGCAGTGCTCTTCGGCCATCCCAATCCGCCGAAAGCTAGTTGCTACTGAATGTTCGACCACTCTATGGTATAATGAGTGAATACCAATGGTGATGCTGGCACCGGCCGCCGACTCATTATTCGTGACGTGTCTGGACAGGACAACACAAGTTGATTGGGCGGGCATCGATTAAGATTAACTAGATGTAGCTATCAGGCATTCTGGGTCCTCAGCATCGATCGACGTGTAAAACAAGTGTTTTACCTTGGACGATCGTTCAACCGAGTGGCTGAACAACCAGGGTTACATACCCCGCCACTCCAATCGCGAAAAATACGTGGAAAATTCCCGTAAAGGAAGAGGTTGTGCATATAAGAGATTACAGCCAGGAATGACTTTCAAAACCACCACAGTATGTAGCTTAACCCCCGTGTGTGTGTGTCATTGGGGCTTTATGACGCACTCAACTGCTGAGGCTACATGGCGTCGCCGGCCTCTCACTCTGGCAGGAAGGGCGGGCACCACGGGGAATCGAACCCCGTGCCTCTGGTTTCCCAGACAAGCAGTGGTTAGCGCAGACGCGTGAACCACTACACTACCGGCACCCCTAGCTTAACCCCCAATCCAATGCCTCATGTCAAATAATATAATGTAAATCCATGTGAAATCCTGAGCAAAGTATTGCAGCCTAGCCTTGCAGCCCTGCAATTCAACCCTCCTCATCCCTGCACGTCTGTTATCAACGATCCTAGTCCCTGCAGAGTGTGCTAACCGTCGTCCCGTATCGCTGTGGCACTGCAATGACCACTGAGGCCGCGGCGTGCGATGCCCCCGGGAGGCGCCATTCTGGCGAGCAGGGCGCGTCAATGGCTGGTTGGCGTGCGTGCGCGTGCCGTGAGCGCCGCCGGCGGTCGCGGCAGCGCGGCCGCGGTGTCGGCGCCGGCAGAACGTCCGATCAATCTGGCCGACACCGCAGCCAGATCAGATCCCCGCGACCGTCTCCCCTCGCTGCCGGCGTCCGACGCCGCCCCCCCCCCCCCGCTTTTGTCGCGAGATGGGGGAGCCGCCGGTGCGACGAGCGGGAGGCGGGGGGCGGGGGAAGGCGACAGCTGACGCTGTGCGTGACGTCACACCTGCCGGTCAGCGAGCCAGCCGTGAGCCGCTCACGGCCGCTCACGGCCTCAGAAGGACAAGGACATTCTGGAATAGTTACCTAGCGTGCGCGCACCTAACGTATAACAAAGAATGTTTCCGTTCATCGCACCCGACTGGCCTGGCCACTGATGCATTTATGATGATGATGCATTCGAGGTGTAGGCAGGGGTGTTCAAAAGCTGATGATTGAAGCGACGCGTTCACTTTTTGAGCCCGTTATTCTCGTGCATGCATACGCCTGGCACTACGAAAAGTGGATGACCCCCTCCCCCCTCGGTATCCCCACGCCCATCTAGTATTGTTGAACAAACGGGTTTCACCATTTCCGAGACGTCATGGTGGTGGTGGATAACGATGCATTGCTCAGGCCTGACCGTAGTAGGCCTTTGCCCCGAACTCAATGCACCACGGTTGATGTTGGGCGGAGATTCAGCTTTTGTGATATCCTATTGAAAAATGAGAGTACCTAGGGTGCTGACGGATACAAACAGGAAATACTGTGGTGAGAAATGCGAGCAGCTTTTGATAGATAACAGGATAAGGGGAGCATGGAAAACCGAGGCAGAAAATGTGGATGTAGATGACGAATGATAAACCTACGGCGGAAAAGAAGGGCGCTGCGGCACAAAGCATGCAAACGTAAGCAAGCATGGGGTTGGAGCCATAAAAGCAAGACAAGCGGCGCCACATTCATACAACAAGCAAACAGGGGAGCGGTGCCGAAATGCGGACACATCACGCGAACCAGAAGACAAACTGCATCCCAGGAACAAGGTAGCCAAGGCATAGGTGGGCGTAACTGAGCAGGACGAGGACGCGGATGGAGAATACCAAAGAAAGCTGGTGTGGCAAAGCTGCAGGAATCAGCAGTCCTAACGGGAAAACGCCAAAGTCCTGCCGATTTTGCGGAGGTTGGTGTTACGGCTGTGGCATCGGTCGTACCACATCCTCCACCCATGGCAGAGGATGGCGGAGCCCCGCTGCCGCCTTCCGGCAGGCGCCAGCTGGGCCTGTGCCCTCTGCACTCTGCTGTCGTTCCTGCACCGAACACTGGCGGTTCAATCTATGGCAATCGGCACGGCAGGCCTCGTGCCTGTGACGTCACAGGGGGCATGAGAGGCAGCCATTGGGCCGCTCGGCTTCCAGTGAGCTGCGGCTAAACAATAGTGACGCAACAATGCCGAGGAAAGCCGACGCCCAAACAGTTCCGTTCATTCCGCATGTTAGGCCTGTGACGCGCTGGAGGCGCCACCCGCTCTAGGGAGAGCCGCACTAGCGTGATGGAATGACGATGATGAAGGTGCGTGATTTCTGGGGGAGGAGCACGGGCAGCCTTCAGCCGCCTACCCGCTGCTCGCCACCACCGAGTGACGCCTGGGGTTGCCGGTCGCGCCGGTGCCGTCTGCGCGCGGCCTGGAGCGGGTGCCGTCGGCCAGCGCGGGCGGCCCGACGGCCGGGCCGGGTCCCCGGCCGGCGGCTCCATTCGGCTCAGGTGGCAGCGCCGCCCGCCGCCGCACCGCTCCGCCGCCCGCACCGGACAATGACAAGGATGCATGGCGGCTAATGCGCACAGGGTGCTTCAGTACCCGGTAACGGCTCGTAATGAGCGCTCGAAAGCGTTGTGATTACGTCTGGCTGCAGCCCGCCAGCCGTAAAAAGATTCGTTTCCGACAAAAAGTGGGTTCCGTTTTAACCCAAGTGGATCTTTGTCGAGCTGGTGAAACCGCGGCGAACGCGAAGCACGGACTCTGCATGTCGGCGCCGAAGTGGTGATTTGTCACTGCGCGAGAATCCAGGTCCCGAATCGAGTGGATGTTACAGCGGGTCGAACGGCGCACTGGACGCCGCTCGCGTGGCCCTGGTCGACCCAGCAGCGGTGCGACCTCTCCGGAGAGACCGGGCAACCTCGGGCATTGGCCGCGCACACCTGCCAGTGGCCTCACCTCCCGGCAGGTACTCCAGGCCGTCGTCGAAGCACTTGTAGCGCACGTACTCGGCGGAGGCGGTGCTCTTCCAGGCGCGGCCGCGCACCAGCCGCGACTTGCCCGCCACCGGCATCACGAAGTCGTCGAAGTCGGCCGGCTGCTCGACCGGGCCCTCGCCCGTCTCACCGCCTTCCGCCGCCGCCGCCGCCTTCGCCTCGCTTCTCACCAGCGACTCGGTCGCCTGCTCGCCGGCCGTCTTGTCCACCTTGGCGCCCTGGTCGAGCGACACCATCGTGGCGCGGCACGTGCTCGTCAGCGGCCGCGGCGCACCACCAGCCCGTCACCGAGCACCAGAACCAGCACTTGGCACGCGTGGCGCCGCGACGAACGCGGCTCGCCCAGCCCGCGTGCGTGCGCGCGCGGCGTCCCCACTCCCCGCGCTGGCCCGCAGCCGACTGGTGGCCGGCCCGCCGGCGTACGGCCCGACGGCACTCGCAACCTATTTGACACGGGGAAGGCACGGCGCCGGCAGATAGGGTGTACCGCCTGGCGTGCGGCGGCCGGACAGTCTCGAAAACGCGCGTCAATGGCGGCCGGCCGGAAGCGAGGTGGCCGGCCGGCCAGCGACAGCCGCCGGCCGTTGGCCGTCAGACGGCGGAGCGGGGGGTCGCGGTGGCGCTTCCGGCGCCGAAGCTGGGAACCAATCAGCCCCGATGTTCCGCCCGCGGCTGCCGGCACTCGTTCTTCACAAGCGAGCTGAGCTCTTTCCTGACTTGGATAAACCAATTCAGTGTATTGTGGTCCACGTCGTATATATCTGACGATTGAACTTCTGAGGAAACGAGTTGTGAGCAAACGCGATTCTTTCTGACTCCGGTTCTTTGGGCCCGTCATTATCTAAAGTGACGTCACTTGGTATCAACAAAGAGAGAATGTCTCGAGACGGTCACAAAAATATTCTGCAGGAAACTGCTGGCATTAGTTATCAGTGAACATACACCAGGGACTTAAGATTCTGTACAGAGATCGAGGGAGGGGAAGGGGGAGCTTGAGTATTAGCTCGAACATCCGACTTGTAAATGAAACCTCACCTTCATATCCAGCCCCCAAATCTTGGAAACAGCTCTTCTAAAAAGTTACAGTAACCAAGCAAAGCCACCCAAAAAATAGGGGAGCCCAAAACACAACATGCAATGTCAAATGGCACATAAGGTGTAATAGACGAATATACCTGAATTTACCATAGAATTCAGGCATACACAGGTTTCAATAAACCTCAACACGTGCCCAGCTGACCATCTGAATGCGACGCACTCAGGTGGGGGGGGGGGGCGGATTTCACCCCCTGAGGTCTAAAACAATGATAGTTAAAGTCACTAGATTAACATGGTAGGTAGAGATTTATATCACATTATACTTTTACAAATTTATGTCTATAGGTTGTGACATTCAGGTCAAATAAGGTCAAACAAGGTCAAGCGTCAGATCGGGGTCCAAAGTACCCTCACACCTCTTCACGTAACCAGCTTTAACCGAAATGCATTTTACACGCACACTTGAATAATAGTGGGTGAGAAATCATGCCCTCAATAACTGGTGTTCTCACAACTGATATTCCTACGCAAATACCTCATGTGTCATGCGCTGCACCATCACGAGGCATGGGGCACAGGAACCGGGCCTGGTCTGGCCTGGGACTCACAACTTTCGGAAAATATAATACATTGAGCTGTACGGCCTCCACCTAACACCCCGCTGAGCAGCATGGTTCCGGCGTATGAGTATGGAAGTAGGCACCACGTGTTTGTGCGCACCCAAGCATTTGAAGTGCAACCAAGAGTGTTTTTACCCGTGGCATCCCCAGAGTTGACATGGTGGCACCCAACGTTACCTGGCACCCACAAAGTTGAAATGGGTACTCGTTTCTCATAGCGTGACTTGTACACGCAGAAACCGAAATGTGGTGAACAAAAACCGTGAGCTAGAAATGCTTGACAGAGACGCATCAAATCTTGACTAATTGTGGTTTGGGTGGATGAAGGGGAATGTTCCACATTTGAGGATATTGAAGCAAACATCAGACGTGGTGATGAAGTAAGCTTACTTATAGCTGTTGGGATAATACTAAGTGGAAAGGACTGCTTTAGACAACACAATTTCTATGTTTAGTGAATATGCTCCTCAACGCCTCATGGTTTGATTACGTCACCTTACCTTGCACAGCATGGATTGGGAGTAAATTGACGGCCGTTATCCCTGGAAATCGTGCTCACTAACGCCAGATATGAACAGCTCGACAATGGTGTTTTATTGGCATTGATCGCTGCATGGCTAATGGAATGTCAGGATTTGAATTTGCGTTATTGTGGCGTCACGAATGCCAGGGTGGCCTTGAAATAGTCTACCCAAAATAATCTACACATCTTTGCGACGGTGTAGCTAAAAACTAGATGTTTAGGCTTTAAGAAGGGCAGGACTGCGAACTGCACCGAATGATCTTCCAAATGGCTATTTCAGTTCAAACCCCACACAAATGTGGAACACACCCTTGAAGGCATCTAAATGCACCGGCTTGCTCCACACGTTACCATCCAGCACGAAAGTCGTGCAGAGATTAGAGGCCTTCACGGTGGAAAACCCACCAAATTGCATGTACATGACTGAAAGTATTGGATTGGGATTTCAACTTTCATGCCACAGGGCGGAAGAGTAAACTCGTGGATTTAAAAATCTGCATGCAGTTGGTTACCAACAATCACTTTTCAAATACCGCAACTGTAGCTGCAAGTTCAAAGCCGCGAAATGCCATCTAGATGTCATCAAGTAAACGTTTTGAATTTATTTGAAAATCACAACCAGCAAATGGCATGCCAAGGGCAGGGTGAACTGGCATTTATGGGTAGTACGCTGGCCGGACCCATATTGGCACAGTTACGCTTGGGATGACGAGGAATGCCCGGAATGTGTGGGTGTGTCGGACGAGTAGCAGCCGCACAACTTAAAAAGAGAACACCGAACTTAGCTGAAAGCATGTTCCGCAAAAGACTACCTTTTCTGTGAAGTAATCGATGTGCTCGTCAATTTTCCCCGTGATAACATTTTCAATTTTGCATCGAGGCGTGCTGACTGGTCGGAAAGGTGGAAAAACATACAGGATGGGAGAGGAGGCGTGGGTGAAGCAAAAGACGAAGCAAAATACTTCGTTTCGCTGACTGAGGTCCGGATGCCACTGCAACCATACTGACCCGTGCTTATATGCCAGGAAAATTTACGTGCGAGTTGCAACGCATGTCAGCGCGTAGATGCAGTGGGAATACTTCGAGTTCGATCGCTATCCATACGGAAAAGGCATATGAACGAATGCACTTGCTGTGAAAACACAGTATAATGCTAACGGTCTGGTCACCCTTGACTATAATGAATACAAGTGCGCTGCACTTAACCTTGCAACGTCATAACACGGGTGTTGATCACATAAAATCTTGCACCCTGTTTCTGGCCTTGTTGGGGTCCAAGGTGTAGCTTTGGAGAAGAATGGTACACAACTAAAAGTCTTTCCCGCAGCATGCACAAAATATTAGGCAATTACTACTATCACATGATTTATGATAGAAATGTGACGTTGAACGCAAACATTGGCTATTTTCCCAAATGGCATAACTTGAATTTACGGCTAACTATTATGCAGGTCAACGATATACGTGATGGACCAGATAATTGAATTTTTAACCCCGAGACCCAATTTCAGTTTGGAGTGTTTTCGCAAAAAATAATCAGCCTTCAGTATACCCGGTGTAAGGGCCAAACGACGTTATCAAGCCAGCACTGGTTACGTTGAGAAAACTCAACGTTATTAAGATGTGTCGCTGGTCACGAGTGCACACTGTTGAACAAAACCTAGCATTTAACAATTCTGTCACGTGAAACGTTTCGAATTTGTAAAGGCACTGCTATTAAAAAATATTAAAATAATCAAGGCATGGTGTTCCCACATCACAACCACCGACACATGGTACTACGGTGCTCGCTGCACGAAACACAGGTGGCTAAGCCGGAAGGTCACGATGATCCATACCGAGTATAAGGTAAGACAATCACTAGCCATGAGCATCAGGCATCACGAGCATTGCACAAACATCACGAACTCCCAGCCATTCAGGGTCTCAAGCCCTAACACCCAATGCACGGTGCTAAGGGCTGCAGGGAATACGGACAGCTAAGTCGAAAGATTTAGATGTCGTGTACCGAGTGCTAACATATAAAGAGACTTGCTTGTGGTGCCAGTCTTCAACTAAACAATATAAATGCGTCAAGACTTCGGTAACCTGAACAACGTTGCTCAAACCAAGTCTTAACACACATCTTTTTGTTTAGCATCCGACGAAGATCACGGCAGTGCGGTGTTCTAACATTGTTTGAGCCGCGTTCGGTTTTGATGTTGCTAAAATTTCTTCTCTTAATGTAAGACTTTCTTGTGTCATACCCCATTACCGCATCTTTGCATAATGCTGTTGCATCATGCATATGTCGTTGCATGGTAATATAATGCATGGGTTTCATCACAAACCTCAAATTAAATATGGATGATAATCTGTCTGATAAACCAGAAAACTGTGACCATAATAAACAATAACAATACATAAAAACCATAATAAATGCATTCAAAACAGAATGTACTAATTTAAAGGAAGAATAAAATTTTCGGAATGTTGAATTTTCTTCCCCGGGCAGACCCCCAACTGATTTGGTGGAACCACATCTCTGACTCCTATACCCTGCTATCCTTGTTCAAAGCTTGCTGACGATATCATAAGTCATGGCGACCTCTGGTGATGCTTTCGAGCGTGCTGTGTGTCCACACGGGCACCTCTTACCCTTCACAGTCGACGACGGATACGGGAGTCATTTGCAGCTAGGTGCAACATTACATGCATGCAGGGAGGCATATATATATATATATATATATATATATTGTCAGAGCACTTGTGCAATGAAGGTTGTTCATCCCTTGTGCACACACAGATTAAATTTAGATGGAAATGGAATACGTAGTCCACGATGCGTTGAGTCGGATCCACCATGGAACCCTGGTCACCAAATGCCAGCGTTTTAGCACCTGTGACTTACATGCGCAGACCTCCTCCTACCCGTGATTCAGCTATCTTTACTTACACATACGACCTTTGCCGCCCACCCATGTATTGCACCAAATGGGGATACATGATTTCAATTTATCACTAGATAGTCAGGGTATATGCAGGAACCCAGAGCTCATCGATAAGCCTGGGTCTACGCCATACAGCTCACCCCACCCCGCCCGCAGTCGCCACTGGCTCATGAGCCTTGGCTGGATCATGGAGCACGCCACCCAGCGGCGGGTCAGCCTCGGCCCGGCCCTGGCCATCGTGTCAGCGTGCCGTCCGCAGCCCGCCCGGCTGACGGCTGAGGCCCGTCAGCACCAGCCGGCGTGGAGTCTGCCTCATGCAGCCGCACGTGAGTGCAAGGCAGGCCGCTTGCTAGATCCACAGCCGCTGGGAGGTTGAGCGCGGGGTTAGATCCACAGCCACTGGGAGGTTGAGCGCGGGGTTAGATCCACAGCCGCTGGGAGGTTGAGCGCGGGTAGCCAACAGCTGGCAGAGCCGCCAGGCAGCTGGACGGTCCGGTGTGGTCTTCTTCTTCCCATAGCCAACCAAACTAGGTCTAGCCGCTGCCGCCACTCTCGTGGCCAATAGGGAAATGCCGTATTGCCTTGCAGAGTGTCATGTTTTACGCCTGCACGGCACCGAGGTCCCTGTGCTACGTACCATCGCCGTGCTCCCTGGTGCTCCGTGTCCCCACTGAGCTTTCTGTGCCCAGCGCCCTTCACGAATTCGCTTATGTTCCGTGACTTCAGCGAGCATCCTGTGCTCGATGACTCAGCTGGTCTTTCTGTGTTCCGTGGCCTCACCAGGCCGTGCTCCGGACCAGGTGCAAATAAGCAAGGCGTCTACGATGGTCCTTGACGGCACCCAAGGTATCCCAAGGTTATCCGGCGTGTTCCAAGGTCCCGAGTGGTCCAAAGGATCCCCACGACGTGTCTGTTCTTTGCCAAATGTTGAATGGGTTAGGCCATGGAATGGTGGCTTGTGCCGATGTAAAATGCTAATATTATCCACATTTTGAACCAAAATGGTGAAACTGCTGAAAGATCAACCCTAACATATTTTCACTGCGGTGAAATAAGCAGGCTTTGCTTCATAAAGAGGCCCATTTGCCGATACGTACCTTGAAACCTTCGTTGCGCCTTACATGCTAATTTCTTTCCTGTCCTCATACCAGGCAGACGTACACAGAGCCGAGCATGTCCGCAGATTGTCCAGCTCGGCGCACGGTCCACCCAGGCCCGTCAGCTCCGTGACCAGAGCACCCGGCTTACGCAGATGGCGCTCTGTGTCGCACTCAGCACGATAGATGGCAGCTCTGTGTTTCGAATTCCGGTTTCTCATTTGTACGTCGGTCTAGAGTTCGGGTGTGGGATATGTGAGAGATTAAAACAGGGAGGATGCAGTGAGGATGCATTATGCGCTTGCAAAAGAGCGGTTGTCACCAAACCTCCCCGCAGATTTAGTGTTCGCGTTATATACAGATGTACGGGTTCTTTAGATGCTGGGAGAGCACTTAACGGCTTTCAGAGCTCCATGTGCGACGACAAAGATGCATATAACAATGGTCAATAAACAAGCAAGAAGACCTCTGAACGTCCCATCATGATCCATAGCGCTTAGGAGCATTGAGGCCATGGGCGGACTCAGGAGTTGGCAACGGAGGGTTGACCCAGGACTGGTTGACCCAGGGTTGACCCAGTTGGCCTTCCGATTATGATCAAAAACGTCATAGATTATGGTAGAAGTTTACTTCCTAACATGTTGTGTGCATATAAAAAAAACAGGTTGGCGTATTCACCACCACTCCATGCATACGTTTTAAGTAGGCCTCTGCAACATGCTGTCACATATGATATAAGTCGTGAAGCATAGTTTCGTTTGATATAGGCGAATTCCCATTGTTGAGCGTATAGTTGTGCGATTCTTGAGTTGATCAGCATGCTGACCGCGATAGGCAGCGTCTGAGACTGCAACAGAAGTGATTCCGGCGAGCAGATACTGTAGAATTAGGCATGTCTCTTTAACTTGCAATTGTTTGGTAAGGATGCGGAGCCAGCTCCCTCAAAGTCCGTATTTTTCAGGCACCATTTGTGCACTTGGAGTAAGTTGTGAACAAGGCATATACCCAGACTTACGTGACGTTACGACCTTTGCATACAGTATGTTTCATTTAGTTTGTATGCCAGTTTAGCCTCGATTCCCTGTGATATCAAATTTCACGGATGAATTTTGCCGTTTGGAGGCTTAAATTTGAGGCCGAGATGTGAGATGCTCTCTGAGATTATTATTTGGTTCGTCGAAAATTTGACACTGCTGTTATCAGTAGTGGGGGGTTCAGAAAGAATGGATAAAATATCTCAGTTCATGATAAAGTGCGTTGAGTGGGTCTAAACAGCGCGATAGATTATGGAATAAGGTTGTTCAACCACATAGAGTATAACGACTGATATGCCACCCGTGAGCAGTTTTGTGACAGACTGGCGCAGGAATATCTGGTAGGAGGGAGCGGATTTCACATGCAGTTGACCTCTGCGATTTAATTGATCTACTTCACCAATAATTGGTTCAAAATATGAAAAGGCTTTCAAAACATGGGCCGACGCACAACCAGGATAGGGGCGGGGGAATGGGTGGGGGTTGCGGCGATCCTACTTCGGTGATTTTCCCCCCACACCCTCGCCTGGATAGAGTTCACTTTTGTTTAGTGTTTTACATCATCAATTTCAATACCAATATGAAACCACAACGGTAAAAGAAGGGAAAGCAATGCGGCAGTCGTCCGTGCAAGCACAACGCATTGGAAACAGGCGATGGGCAGGTAAAAGGTTGAAATTTCTGCAATATTCCGAAGCAACAAAGCTTGTGGCATCAGTATTAGCACTGTGTGCAAATAACAAAGTTGCATGAACTTTTTATCATTGGTATTTAGGGATCATATATCGACGAATCTACGGTGATGTGGCTGCCAGCTATTATGTACTTTTGGAAACCTCTGTCAGGTCTTCAGAGCATCAAAGCAACTGCTTCACACTTGCCTCATTAAAGCACTGATACCCCAACCCAAAGTCCCAAGAGCCTATAGGTGAGCTACCTGAGTAACGGGGTTGGGTGCCGGGATCACGGCGCCCCTGGGTCGCAGCCCTGAACGTGAGGCTTTTGTTGTTGAAACATGTGCCGTTTCAAAATGTCGATGGCACGCTCAGCTGTACTGAGGCACAGATGACAGAGGCGAACGCATAATACATCAATGTTCAACGTGAAGGGTATGAAGGGTGCGACACTTTATATCCATGTTTGTAAGCCGGCAAAGATCGTGGGGGCACATCCTTCACCTGTTCCCGTGGGCGGCTGATAACTGTTACGCGTATTTGATGTCCCCAAAATGTTAAGTTCCCCGTTGCTGGCATTATGCTTGCATTACGGATGTTCGCTTTTCCTTGCACTGTCACGGGTTTTTGTTCCGTGCATCACTGTATGCAGGGAGAATGACAGAAACTCACGGTGCTACGGCACGTAGCTGATGGTGGTGGTGCCTGCTGGTCTCAGGCGTTGTGCAAGGTTCCACATGAGATAATTTGCTCGACCCGTGTTCTTAAGTATCAAAATCAATCTATCAAAAGATAATCACATTGCTTAGCCAAATGTATCGTCAACGACAAGCATCAAAAGTTCCATAGATCTAAACCAAGTCTCGCAGAACCACACACCACCAGGGCATTTCAAGCGGTCACGGACAAAGTACATCACTCGCAAGCTGGTCACAATTTGGCCACACTGTGAATTCAAACCGAAGATAAAAGGCAAAACACGATGAAGCTCCCCAGCATATTTGTGAAGGCTAAAACTACAGAAGCAACGTCCTGGCGGGGTGCCATTGTTATTTGGTCATGCTTGGTTAGGTTTTATAGCGTCAACACTGTCCTTAAAAATTTCTACGTTAATACACAGCTCAACGGTAACACACGCACATCTCGTGAATATTGGCACAATGGCCTCCAGACTGTCAAGACTGCCGTCCAAGCGTCTTCTAGTTGGGCTCACGCTCTCAGTGACGTCATGAATCCCAGGAACGTCACACGATTACATTAGCCTTTTTCACGCTAATATTTTTGGGCGGTGATCTAGTTGGTACCAAATCTAGAATGCTCGAAATTCAGATCAACAAGTGCAGGACCATGGCTCGTCGTCAAAGGTATCGAAACAGTCAGAACATTTCATTCTGGGGGCGTTTTTGCTTGATCACCACGTGTCTAGTCGTTATTTCACGTTTACGGTACTTCATGATTTGCTTCCACGGGACCATATCCACATACGCAAAATGGCAAATTGGTACAACATAACGAAACAAAAATGCATCCAGAGTAAATTTTACCGGCTATTTTGATGGGTCTGACAAAAACGACGAGCTCCTGTGTATACCAGCCTCCGTGCATTTCAGAATAAGGTGCCAGTGAAATGCGGCGGGATCGAATTAGGCATAAGTCCAATAATTGCTAGTGTGAGAATGGCTATTATCATGATGGCGTAAGATGGTTCCACCTGGCCTGGCACGGCTGGTTGTTAGCAATTCCGCTCCGTGCCACAGGTACGTCGTCCAGGCCCGTTCAGCGCCCGCCGTACGTCGTCCGGGTCCGCTCCGCGCCTCCCACACGTCGTCCGGGCACGCTTCGTGCCCTCCGCGCAACCCCGCTCGGGGCCACCCGCACGTCGTCTGGGCCCGCTCCGCGCCCCCCGCCCCTCCCCCCGCACGTTGTCTGGGCCCGCTCGACGCGCCCCGCACGTCGTCCGGGCCCGCTCCGCGCCACCCGCGCGTCGTCCGGGCTCGCTTCGCACCACACGCAGGTCGTCCGGGGTGGCACTTCTTCTCTTGTCGCCTATTCAGGTACCGTTGATGCAGATGTTAGTCTTGCCGTGGTGTTTAGCTGAAGAAGCTGTCCTGAAACGCATCGAGTTTTGTTAGCTGAACGGTGACTACCTGAGGAAGTACACGAGCGACCTGGATTACAGTTGCTTGCATATTTACGATTCAGTCATCTATCAATAACCCGAAGAACAAATCTCTGTAAACGCTTCGCTTCTCTATCGCGAAAACCACGCCATCACGAACGAATATTGTCTTGCCAGACGCATAAACAAAAGCCACGCCTTTGGGATTTTAAGGATTTCGACTATGTCTCTTACAATGCTATGTCATGATAGGTCAATTTCAGGGTCATGAACAAAACGCACTGTGTGCACAACCAAGACCAAAGTAAAAGACGACTCAAAGTTGCGAACAGGGTCTCCTGTATCCCTGCTTTCCGAGGTGCTGGATACGCCGCTGAGCCGCTCACGTCATCCTGCAGCCAACAATGACGATGATACGGCGGCTCTCGGCCATCGTTTATTCAAGATTTCATCAGATAAATATAATGACTTCGTCATGACTGTACGAATCATCGATCCCAAACGCTAACAGTTCCATTGTGTGTGCCAGTTGCCGTGATCGGGAATGCGATGATAGCGCACCGAGGCGTCACTGTTCAACTAAACTGCGTGCCTTGACATGGGGTCGATATAACCCTCCCCCTCTCTCTGTCAGAGGCTTTCTGAGGGTAACTCTTCGGTATTTCGTGCAATTGCGCCACACTTTTAGTGGCCTATAAGGCCTCCAACACACGTGTTTTGGCTCAGGCAACGTGCCCCTGGCCTTTCTGATTTCGGAGCTGCGGCAGTTTTTGAGGAACACTGCACGGCGACCTGCGGCCTGCGCGGGCGGGAGGCGGCCACCGACGATGCCGCGTAAAGCGAGCGGCCGGCCAACATTTTTACATTAGCGGAACCATGCATCATAAAAATACGGTCAAAGCATGTCAAAACTACATACTGCTGTACTCAGCATTAAGCAAGAAGCACGTCCGTTTAGGACGTGTGTCGCTGGGAGAAATGGTCTCGTACATATGAACATGTAAAGCTGAAAAATTTATACTTTTGGGAAATTTGACCTTTCATCTGGCGTAGTGGGGTCATTTATTGATCAAGAAACGTAAAGCCAATTACCAACCGCGAGATCTGCTGAAAGCGGTAGTGGGTGTCACATCGATTCCTATCAGCCCGTATTGTGGAAAGCCCCCAATCAGGGCGAGAGGAAAAAATGCTGACTTCACGACCGCGGGCGCATCTTGTATCACGACAATCACCGACAACGATGGCCGTAACGAAGAACAGGTCAAAACGGAAGCTATCCCGATACCAAACGGCACCAAGCCATACACATAGGCACACCTTTCCGCGTGGCCGGCAGGAGAATGTGGCCACCTCTTGGAGCGTCTCCTACTGGGGCCTCCACTTGAGGTGGCCGTCCGCCCTGCCTGCACAGCAGGCCGCAGTCATTCAGCGATGGACTTCAGAGGGCAAGCACTCGCAAAAGAACCACCGCAAACGCCCGGATGTCACGGAGATGGCGCGGTGTGGAGCGCGCCTCGAAGGCCGAAGCCGACGCTGCACAAACAACCGCGGCACCTAGCACACGCGCTCCCGGGGCGCAGCAAGGCACACGTGATTGCTCTATGTCATACTGTGCGCAGCCGGCTGCCTCTGACGTACCGAGGTTGACGGGGGCGCTGATGTAGGGGTCCTGGTGACTGCGCCGGTCGAACCGCAACACGCCCTGGCGACAAAACAGCGGTCAGCACGCGCGCGTCTCACTGTGGGCCCGAGCTGGGTCCCGGCGCGCGCGGGCCGGCGGGTAGACTGCGGCGGACGCCGCGTAAAGCCTGGCGGCACTTGTCAGCGCGCACTGCACAGTTTAACGGAGAGGCGCCGCTTCCCCAACCAATAGAGTATTTAAGGGATTTTACTCCCCTGCATCAGGTGTTGACCCGTTACGTTAGTAGTCGAGTTTTAGACGATGGAGATGTTTACATCAGAGACAGCGCGGCATATTATTAAATGTAACATTATATGATGTCTGGTATAGCCTCAACTCCATTGTCAAAATCATTGCAATTTCCCAAAGCAACCACATACCAGTCACGCACGGGGCAACAATTTCATTCCAGAAATTCAAGCAGTGCTGGTAAGATTTGGACATAGTTCTATTACGATTCAAAGACATTTAACTGTTGCAACTTGCAACTGCATTTCGACTGAGACTATTTCAGAGATGTCCTTGAATCTCGGCCAGTTCAAAAAGGCGCGGGAACGCACCGTAGAAACGGCAAGGCCAAAACTTTTCTCGCACTCAATTACCTAAAGGCAGTATTGTAGGATTAATTGCCGCTCATCACGAGGGTGCATCGCTTAGAGGAAAGGAAGCAACCACGGGGAGAGAAAGCTGGGGCCACCCCACCGCAGGGCTTCAGTTATTTTTTTATTCAGCTATTTTTAAGAATTTTTAAAGAAATTTTATTATTTAAGAAAACTTCAGTTATTTTTTAAAATTTCAGATGGCTTCCAACGAAAAGATAAAAATTGGCCTCCTGCATAGTCACCGAGCTTCGTCCCCCCCCCCCTCCCTTGAACAAAAAATCCTGGCTGCGCCCCTGTTTGGGAATCAACATGTGCTCTGGAAGGCCAGCTGATGCTCTAAGATACCAGTCCGATTATCTCAGGGGCCCAACCCTCCGAAATAATGGGACCGCCATCACCACCAAGGTGCATGGAAGACCCCAGGGAGGTCATGAGTGCGACTTAGGGCACTTGATGGGGGACTTTCAAGTAGAGTGTGCTGGGTGGGCCATGGTCTCACTCCTACACAAATAGATCCGTGTATTGACCACAAATGGATTCACCCCGATTTGAACTAATCGCATCCTATCCATGGGCTGTAATAGCCCTGATTTAGCAAAAATACAGCCATTCCATTCAAAAGTTAGTGTAATACAACGATATCACATGCACTGCATCAGGCACATAAAAAGGGGTAACGTTACAGAATATGTGGACGCGGCGAGCCTACTCTCCGTCAACGCCTGTCCCCCTCCCCTCCACCCTGTGCACGTCTCCCAGAGTGCCGTGTGTGGGCACCGATGCAGCACGAGGCAAGTGGGCCCCGTTCACGCACACGTCGGCGCGGGGCGGGGAGCGACGGCGGCGCCAACGAGGCATCCATCATGGGGCCGGGGCGCGGACGGCGATAACATCCGAGGCCGCAGGCGTAGCCCTCAAATGAGCCGGTGGAGGTGCGGAGAGGAAGATGGAGCGGCGCGCCAGCCGTCACCCCGCCCCGAACACGGCGCGCCGCTCGCGCCGTCGGAGCCGCCCCTGAGGCACGCGAGGCGGCCCAACAGGCGCTAGCCCGTCTGCGCTTCGTCGGTCCGCTTCGAGCCAGGCTGCAGTTTGATGGCTCCCGCCCGTTTGCTGGATGATGCAACGACCTTCCCGTTGTGATCAGTGTGGGCACATTTTTGATTGGAAGCTGACAGCCAGAGGGGCTTGTGAGCCCGGTGAGTGCAGCCGGTCACGCGCGCCACAGCACCAACCATCACTCTGCCCGTTCGCGCGCTTTTACGATTTATGGCGGTGTTCGGCAATCATAGCACTTACAAGTATGAAACCAGCTGTTCTCTGTGGGTGAATTTAAGGTTGTGCTGTTTGCATGTCATTACACTTTGTTGATATTTCAATACCCACAGGTGCCCTGACCATCGACCAGGATGTAGCAAAAGTCGCTCGTTATGCAAGTAGTTCGAATTCGACAACCGGTGGCCAAAGCCGGCGGAGATCTAGCCACGAAAACCCAATCCTGTTCAGTGTGACTAATATCCATCCAATGTATTTCTGTCTCTCAACACTTTGGACCAGGTCACCTGAAAACGTAGTTCTAAAAAGCCAACAAGGCAACGTCGCTCGAGTCGAATTGGCAGTCGCTGCCAGACCAAGAGCTAGCCAAACTTCAGGCAATCCGATTTGAAAATAGCTTCCGAACGTTTTACCATTGAACCATTGCGTGATAAAGTGCAGTGCAGGATGGAGTTTCCAATCCATCGGCGGATCCCATTTCGTATCATGAGTTCTTAGAACTGTCTGGCCTCATAAGACCAGTTTTACGATGATAGCATGGCCCTTTCACACCTGTCATCACCTTGCTCGGCAAACATTGCAGCGGGTTTCTCACTTGTGTTACTACCCGTGCTGGGTTATGGCGGCGCAAACAAAGTATCTTATCCATTCAGTTTCCGTGGTTGTTCAGTGTCTCTCTTTTCCTTTCCACTGCAGATCATGTTCAAATGCTACAAAGTTTAAAAGATTAAAAAAGGGATATTTTTTAGCCAGCGTGACAAGTGCATGCCCGGAAGAAAAAGAGCCAAACATGTTTAAGGTATGTTCAGACTATGCCTATGTTCAGTGGGCTTAACCGATATGGCATAGTTTAAAATGCTACATGCTACATCGAATGATGAGGTACTATCAGTGGATAATTCTTTGCCCGCTAATTTACGTGACTTTTCTGAAAGCTGTCGCAATGCTATTTTGTTTAACGCCTACATAGTTCTCAACAGGCCATGTTGCCGTCCACAGTCGGCGAGAAATATGCAGTGAAATGGTGCTTCGAAACAAAGGCGGTCGTCCAGACTCAAAGTTTAAAGAACGTGTCATGTGTGCTTCCTCATGAGAGCAGCCTCGGAGACCCGACTAGCAAAGTAGGTCCACGGAAACAAGCCAAAGGGCCGCGGCCCCTCCGGGCTTGCACAAGCGGGGTCAGCCGTGCTACGGAGTTGCCGCCATTTTTTAGCAGGGCAGGATCGGGCGGGACCGTATCTTAAGTGAGCGGGTCACATGGAGCACGTACTGCATGCCCAAGGTAAGGGGGACATGGAGAGTTCAGCGAGAAAATGCAAAATATCATCGGATGCTCTCTACATAGATATATCAGCTATGATGCAATGAAATTATATCTCTGAAATTTTAAAGTCGTCCGTTTTCCTGGAGCGTCCTACGATACACCTTTTCCCGCTGCCATTGGACATGCAGTTATGACGGTAACAAAGAGACCTGAACAACAAATGGTACCCTGTTGATCTGGCTCGACTGTACACATTCCAGCTCCACGGATATACATGATGCTCAGCGTCTTGCACTGTTGCGCGAGCCATCCGACGTCGCACTCCACCTGGCCCCTGAATGTCAGTCCTCGAAAAGGCACGCGGCCATGCAAGCCTCCCTCGTCCGGCCAAGGTCAGAAAAAAACGTATGTCCTGCAGTGGTAAAGAACATCCCAGAACGTGCTGTTTCGTAGCCACATAGTCATGTGAGCCAAAGCCCTCACCTCAATCGACTCTCCCTTCTTCAGCACGTTCTGCACGTCGAAGACAGTAGCCAGCTCCTGCAGCGTCCTTCCGGTGTCGCCGTGGCTGTCCTGGCGCGACAGCGGCGTGCCGTGGCGCGGCTGCGACGTGCTCTGACGCGACTGCAGCCCGGCCTGGCGCACCCCGCGGCTGCAGGTGCTGGCGCGCGTGCTCACGGACTCGGCGCTCTCACTGTCAACGACAGTGTCAACCGTCTCAGCCGCATGTCAAGTTATGGCGGAACCTTCCACGCGGCGGAAGCGATGGTAGCAGCAAATCCGCGATATTCTTTGCCTGCTTAGAAGATCTGAGGACAATGTCCTCAGCTTTATTGCAGAATTTCTGGATTAAATGGACGTTTTCCATCATATTGCACTTGTGAAAAACCATGACAATTTGAAAGGTAACCGAGCTATGGAGACTTTTCAAAGGTTTGCATCTTATGGGGTAACCCCGGCCTCGGGGCACCACCCAACACACCACTGGAGTTCGCCGTAGAGCGAGCTACATGGTTGAACAGTCCAACTATAGTCTTCGACTACTACATAGCTGAAGCGTTGTGGAACGGGTCGAGCCGAATGTATTTGAACGGAGCTCCTGCGTCCTGGCGCTACGTGTGACACCAAAATACTTTGACAAAATGCCTGTTGAACTGAAGTTAATGTGCTGGGGTGACAACATCGAGGGCACTGCAGCAAATAATGCTTAGAAAGGACCCTGGCCCGACCACTTTGGCAGTGCAATTGATTAGTCCGCGTGCCAGTGTCGCCGGGAAGTCTTTAGTTCAAGCCTGGCTTCGGCAGGTCTTTGGCTCCCGCCCAGGAGGCGGCCGCGAATGGAGATGAGAATGGAGAATGGAGATCAAATGGAGATCGCTCCGCCGCGGGATTAACGCAGTGGCGGCCAACACCCACGAAGAGGGATTCACGGGCGCGGTCTGCCTTCAAACAGACCCGTCGGTTCGGTGACAAAACAGTGTCGAGCGCACAGCCTGACTGGGTCACCGGAGCAGTCCCCTGATCACCGGGCTCGGGAAGTGGGAATAGGCCTAATGTGTACATATAGGCCCACTGTGTGCATGTCTTGTGTACAGCCCCACTTTGTGCTATGGCAGGATCCTGACAGTAGGCGCGAGGTCAAGACTGTTCCGCTAGGGCTTCGAACAATGAGGCCTTTATCGTATATAGTCTACGGTGCGTGTGTCTGCGCCTCTCCATGTCGCCGAACCAAAAATAGCTCGGGATGTGGCATCAAACAATTAAAAAATGTACCTCATAATAAAGGTAGCTTTGTCATTAACGAAACTGTCGGGTGGCTTATTTTATAGACAAATTGTTACGATGAGACAAGTTTCAAGCGGTGCCTTCAGAACCCCCTTACCGAGCCAGAAGCCTTGCCGTTAACAGAACTCGGTCTTATGATGGCACGTACACGTATCAGTTGACGCTTTTTCTTGCGAAGACAAAATCCCGCGTGCCGGGCTTCGCAATGACACACGCATGGTTTTGTCCTACGCAGCAGGATGACGTGACGTGAAGTCCATGCGATTCACCTTCGCCTGATACGAATATTTCTGAACTAGAAATGGCGGCAGGCAAAATCAGATTGGAATCAGCGGCGTTGCTTAGAAATCTATTTTTAATTCAAGCGGCTATATTTCGATGCTTCTAAATTTGAAACGAGGCAAGAAAACTTATTTCAAGAATACAACCAGCATGTTTCAAATCAAAATGTGCGTTGAAATTACTGCACGATTGTGCAAAGTGATGTGGGGTGTGCACCGCTGGTAACTCGCATGGAACGCAGCTCGCTTGTGGGAGGGATATGGATTCAGAGCCCATCCTGTCGCACGCACATTTGATGCACATCTTGGTGGTTGCACACTGGCCATTACACGATGGAGGTGATTTATGAGCTGCTGACATAAATTGACACCTAACACCCGTAGCATGCTTTGCTTTGACTTTAAAGTAGTGCTTGACCACGTGATCTAGTACCACGCCAAGCGAATAAACACGAGTGATTGAGAATGGTAAGCATGCGGTACTGGTATCAAACAAATAATTTCAAAGCAATCAGAACCGTGCAGACGTGATGGAAGACAAGGCCGCCCAATCCTCACATATCACATGGCATCAGAGGGTAGAGGTTCTGTGTGCGGGGATGGATACACGAGTGGGATGCATGATGTACCTTCATTAATTTATTTTTGTTCCATTCACCGGCATCATTGTGACGACTTTGGATCAATGTGCACTTAAGTGGTGCCTTTTTCGGAGTAAGAATGGACTGAATTGAACTGGTTTGGGGACTGAATTAACTGAACCGTAAACAATTATACAAGCTGATCTGCAATGGCGTCCTGCGGCCCAGGAGTAATGTGTGATGTTTTAACTAGCAATTAGTCCGACAAGCTCATCAGATCTGAATATGGGGGTGGGTATCAACTCCCACGCAGTTTGAAGGCGTCAAACGAGGCAAGAAATCCCGGAGTAAAATATTTGGGAAACAAATTATTTTAAGTGATTCAAACCACATTCCGAACATTTCAAAACATTTTAGGACTTTGCAGCTAGTTTTTGTTTCGTGGTTTTCCAAACCAATTGTTGCTTTATCCCAATGCACCCTGGGAACGCATGCTTCGACTACTGCAGCACCATCATGCCGGTCACTCACCTGCTCTTGATCTGCATGTTGCTGCGGTTGGTGAAGAGTCGCTCACCGTCGCTGCAGCGGCTGCCGTCGGGGCTGGCGCTGGAGGGGCTGGGAAGGCTCTGGAAGCCGGATGAGTCGCTGCGGCACGGCGAGGCACCGAACCGGGGCCCCGAACCGGCCCCGCCGCCACGAGCAGTCATCGACAGAGGGCTGCGATATACCGCTCGTGTCAACCGGGGCCCCGAACCGACCCCGCCGCCACGAGCAGTCATCGGCAGAGGGCTGCGATATACCGCTCGTGTCAACTGGGCCCCGAGACGGCCCCGCCGCTGCGAGCAGTCATCGGCAGAGGGCTGCGATATACCGCTCGTGTCAACTGGGCCCAGAGACGGCCCCGCCGCTGCGAGCAGTCATCGGCAGGGGGCTGCGATATACCGCTCGTGTCAACCGGGCCCCGAGCCGGCCCCGCCGCTGCGAGCGGTCATCGGCAGAGGGCTGCGATATACCGCTCGTGTCAACTGGGCCCAGAGACGGCCCCGCCGCCACGAGCAGTCATCGGCAGGGGACTGCGATATACCGCTCGTGTCAACCGGGCCCCGAGCCGGCCCCGCCGCTGCGAGCAGTCATCGGCAGGGGGCTGCGATATACCGCTCGTGTCAACCGGGCCCAGAGACGGCCCCGCCGCTGCGAGCAGTCATCGGCAGAGGGCTGCGATATACCGCTCGTGTCAACCGGGCCCCGAGCCGGCCCCGCCGCTGCGAGCAGTCATCGGCAGGGGGCTGCGATATACCGCTCGTGTCAACCGGGCCCCGAGCCGGCCCCGCCGCTGCGAGCAGTCATCGGCAGAGGGCTGCGATATACCGCTCGTGTCAACCGGGCCCCGAGCAGGCCCCGCCGCTGCGGGCAGTCATCGGCAGAGGGCTGCGATATACCGCTCGTGTCAACCGGGCCCCCGAACCGGCCCCGCCGCTGCGGGCAGTCATCGGCAGAGGGCTGCGATATACCGCTCGTGTCAACCGGGCCCCGAACCGACCCCGCCGCCGCGAGCAGTCATCGGCAGAGGGCTGCGATATACCGCTCGTGTCAACCGGGCCCCGAGCCGACCCCGCCGCCACGAGCAGTCATCGGCAGAGGGCTGCGATATACCGCTCGTGTCAACCGGGCCCCCGAACCGACCCCGCCGCCGCGGGCAGTCATCGGCAGGGGGCTGCGATATACCGCTCGTGTCAACCGGGCCCCGAGCCGACCCCGCCGCCGCGAGCAGTCATCGGCAGAGGGCTGCGATATACCGCTCGCGTCAACCGGGGCCCCGAACCGACCCCGCCGCCACGAGCAGTCATCGGCAGAGGGCTGCGATATACCGCTCGTGTCAATCGAGCTGGCGCACGTCACATCAGGGCCACATCAACTTGTCTTCGGCAAGACAGGCGAAAAATATTCGGGTTGACCTACCATTTCACCAAGGATTTCGAGATCCGACTTTCGGCGACAGCTAGAAGTGATGAGGCGATTGCGGTACTCTGAATGAAAGGATTCACATCTGCGCAGAACAAGCAGAAAGACCCGAAACGACATAGTGAGATGTAGAAATTTGAAGTTCATGGCCATTTATCGTTCGGTCATAGGTGAATGATGAATGAAGCTAACTCCAGCCAAGAGTGCATTCAAACGGGAATCTAAACAGTCAGTCGACTGTAATCAATAGCAATCGCAATCCCGACCAAGATGGTCAAAGTCAAGAAAGTATAACACGACACATTTCTGCAGGCTGAATAGCATCTAAGGGGCTTTCATGAATATGAGTTTGTTTTCGAACACTGCTTAATGTAAAAAGCGAAATCCGACGAGATTTTTCTAACAGCAAGAAGCCCGCTTTTTCACACACACACACACCCTCCACAAGAGGCGTTCTGGATCCGTTGTGCCACCCGATGAAGTACGCATCTAACCATCCCTCAAATGTCACTGGGTTTCATGTTTGTTTAGGTGTCATTTTATACGGTCAGAGCACAACAGCTCGTTGAATCTACACAAAAGTTACTGGCGACTGGGGTCCGGATCTCACTGACCTCGGTGGTGGTTACACTCATCCCCTGGGTCAGCTTCGAGAGCATTGTGATACTTGTTTTACCTCATGTTTGTGTTGTATATCGACCACTAGCAAACAGCCGTCCGAACATACCTGATGGAGACGTGTCTTTCGGGGGTTTTCCTGGTCGAGATTCGCAGTGGCTTAGGGCATTTCTTTTTGGGTCCCGCCATGTCTGAGCTCCTATTGGCTGACGCGAGATTCAAGGTCAGTGCCTGTAGGCCTATCAGCGCTGCGCGATCCTCCACTTGATCATATTGCGTCTTCGTGGACTTCAGGGACGGTTGGCGGCCGGAAACGCCAATAAATGAGGCGCACGACTGAAAGAAAGAACAGACCAGTTTGCGTACTGCGCGTCATGTTTCGCACGCCATTAGTAACACAAACTGGCCGGGTCAAGCGCGGTGAAGAGCGGCATCCCAGCGACGCCATGCCGCGACGTGCGAACAACGGGCCATCGTGTAGGACACGGATCTCCCGGTGGCGGCACACATCCGGGCGGCGGCCGGAGTACGCCCGCCGCCTTACTAAACAGCTCAGACAGCGCCGCCCAGTGTGGGCAGCAGCGGAGCCAGGAGCGTCTCAGGCTGGCGCTGGCGGCACGAGAGCGCATCAAACCTGCCATCTGGCGACAAGATACAAAGCTCAGCGATCAGGCGTGCCGAGCGTGTCGGAGATACGCGTCAGATTTTATATGCAGTCGAGAGTAATGCGACAGAACCTATATTTGCATGTCAGTATAGATGGCCCATAACCCATTTATAGGCTGACATAGAGTTACGGTCAATCGGGCTTGCGATTCTTGACGGAGGTAATTAGAGGGGAGAGGGCGATATGCGAGGGAGAGATGCCACAGCCCACCTACTTTCCATGAAAGTTCAACATTCATCTTATGGTGGTATGGTCTCACGGGGCTCGATTCCACGCGGTGCCCGCCGTCAATCGTTTAAACCACTCCAGCCAAGTGAAACCTCACGTCAGAGAAGCTTGTTCGCCCCCTGCTCTGTTACTAAGCCGCTGCCTTTTAATGGGTTGCGCGTCGCACGCTGTCGCTCAACTCCAAAGTTATGGAGCCCTAGCGACTGCAGTGGTCAGAGCAGCGCCCAGGAGCCATGGTGCCGGCCGGGAGCCGCACATACCCCCGACTGAGAGATGGTTCGTAACTGCCACTGCAGATCCGCGTCAGTTCCGGGTCCTGTCCATCCGCCGGGCGCGGTCCCGGGCGACGCTACATGGGCATAACCTGGTCACGTGACAGCAAAAACGGCGACAGCTGCACCTGCAGGGCTGGGCAGAGGCGGGCACGATGTGGGTGCCTCCAAGGCAGCCGGTAGAGTGCGCACAGCTAGTACCATGGCGTGGACAGCTGCGCAGCGAAAGGCTGGCTTTGCACGCGTGCATGGTATGTTCTGCTCTTGCATTGCTACACCCGTCGTAGACAACACGTGATGATATTTAAAATGTTGTGCATAAGCCCATGGAACAGTCCTTTAATGACGCTGAATACATCGTCGCTGCAATTACGTCTTCGGCATGCTTTTATTAAAACGGAATGGAAAGAAAAGGATGCGGAACTTTTCAGCGCGGCTTCTATTCTGATGGTCACTGAAATGCAAATGTTTGGATTCTTCAAGAGCTTCCCGCTTGCTCGCTGGAAAATGAACATGAAAAACGTCCCCTGTTCAGGCCTCCTGCCCGCATGCGCTGTTAACGACACTGGTATTGCACGGGCGGGAATCTATGGCGTGGATCGTCGCGTAGAACTCGTGGTATGTGTCATTTCACGCCAATCCGTGCTGCCGTTTGTTTTGTGCATCTTGCTAAAGCACTACAGATAAACGGACGGACAGAAAGAGAGAAAGGGGCGTACGCCCGCAAATTAATGAATTAGATGTTTGCATACCGTTTTAGCATTTTGTTTTTTTTTCTGTGACGTGCCTCTCTTGGCTCGTCACATTGGTGAAATAAGCCGTCATAATCTTGTCTTGTGACCCAATGGGAAATATGCTATGACTATCTATCAGTGAAGGTGGAAGCTGAACATTAAATGTACTCCGATTATGCAAGGATGAATTGCAATTGAAAATGTCTGCAAACCTGAAGCATGGCGGCTTCCATCAAAAAATTATCGGTAGTCCCAAGCCATTCAGCTCAACTTGGCGTGCATTTTGTGAGAAGCACTCGTCTGTGAAAAAGCGACTTTCAGCGAAATGATGCGGAGGTAAAATGCCTGCATCAAGAACGCTCAATTCACACAATCCTTAGGCATGACTACTGTTTCTGCCTCCCGTCATGAGCCTAACTTGGACGACTCGGCAGGGAACTGTACCACACTTCGGAGCACAGGAGCCCCGGGCCTTCTCATGTCCAAGACAAGCGATCAGCCCTCGTCATGCCTCTAGTTTTATGGCAGCATTGGGATGCCCTTGAAGTATAATTAAGGGCTACGGGCATTGCTACACTCTGATGCTGCTGAATCATACGAAAGCAAAAAAACAAAACAAAAAACTTACCGTTCTCTCGCCAAATCAGTAGAAATCCTAGAACAGTACAGATTCTAACATAATCGGAATCCGGCCCCATCCCTCTATATTTTAAAGTGCATTATTCTTCCCAAATGCTTCGAGCACGCGCATGAAGGTAATGGAGGCCGACTTAAACTGTAAGGCGTAAATTGTTACAGCTTATTCACAACCGCAATGGTCCTGCGCCCACGCCGAGCTTTGGCTTTTGTCACCCGATGTTTTACGACCAATTGCCCAAGGCCTCCTGGCATTGTACACTATGCATAATCGTAAACATTTCTCTGGAAAGACGGGGCGGAGGGGCAAACAGCACGGGCGTGTAAGTAAACTTGGAACGACACCCTACTCCGCGGCTACTCGGTCCGTTGCCAAGACAGCACGCCTGCACCAAAGGCTGCGGAAGGGACGGGCCCACTCCTCCGGGTGCCTCTCAGCAGCCTCGCGCCAGGTGCGCGCGCCGCGCCGGTCATAGACGTGGTGGCGCACGTCGTCTCGAGCTCCAGTGAAGTTCAGGCGGCCTTGGAGCGCGGGCGACCGCGGGCCGCTGTGGCATATGAGCCTATTTACGGACGCCCACTCGAGTGTGTCCACAATTTATCACGCTCAGCCCTCCCGGGCGGCGGTGGGATGATCGATAAGAGCGCGCCGCCCCAATCGTGGCGCAGTGGCGCCGCTGGCGCAGCAGGTGACGTGGCCCGGCCGCTGGCGACGGCCAGCACGGCGTGGCGTTGCAAATGTGACGCGGACACGACCGGTGCCGGTCGGAACGAGCTGCTGTCTAAAATGTAGACGTTTAGGGCCCTGAAGAGACCCTGCAATATTGCAGGAGGGCTGGGCATCCTTTGACGCCATGGTGCAGCATAGCAGACTCAAAGCCTGGGCTCTTGCGTGCAAGGGACTCATCGTTCCTGAAGCCGTGTTCGCGTCAGCCTCCGTCGAAAGCGTGCTTCGGATACATTAACAGGCACTCGTGCACTCCCATGCCGAAACAGACCCGTAGATCATCTTTGTGGGCTTACTGTCCTCGAAGATGAGTTGCTGACAGAAGAAAGCACCAATGAAGCTGTGGCGGTGCAGCTACAGCGATGCATGCAATGCATGTATCCAAGCTTCAGTCAAGCTACGCCGTCCAGTACACAAGTTTACGAGGGGCTCCACCAGTTGCATACAAATGCATGGTCATGACCGCCGTCAAAGCACAACGCATCCGTCGTGCCAGTGAAAGGAACTAGTGTCAGCGAGGAGCTGCTGGGCGCAGGGCACGTGCCCAAAACGATCACATTAGCTTTAATTGAATTGGATGGAATCCGCATGGTAAACGGGCCGCCCACATGGCCGACTGTTCGTATGATCTGCCGACAGTCGGGCTGATCTAATATTCCTGGGCATTATCTTTTGATGCAAATGGAGGAGCATTAGTACAGTTTTCGTGCTTCCAATGAGCCACTGGGTCGAGAAGCAGATCGCTGCCGCAGACACACAACACTGTGAAGGCTGGTAATGACACAACTGTGCGCTATCGCGGTTGCTATACGAGTTACGAAGTGGACTTGTCTGATGAAACGTATTCTGTTAGGCAATGATGTCATTTTTGTCAGATCCTGATAGTTGGCCGGTATTGGAGTGCCAGTGATGCTTTCAAGCCAGTCTCACCTAATTGCGATGCGACAAAACAGTAAGAAATGGGGTTGTTTGAGACCAGTGTGTCAAAACGCATTACATTTTTACGGAAAATGACAGCCGGTTCGAACGATTTAGGGCACCAAGCCTTTTCTCAAGTTTCGGTCTCGCTTTCATTGGATGGATTAGTTTATCTGCTGATTTCGATCTCCTTTCAGGACTTTAGTGACAGTTTTTCGGCCTCCATAGCACGTTTTGCTAAGGTGACTTGTACACACTGCGTGGGACGCGGCAAACCCATCCGACGTCTCGTTACAACCCAGCTGCCAGCCCAAGCACTATAGCTGACACGTCGGCCCAAGGCTGCCGCTCGGAGGGTCGCAGCGGGAGGTGGAGACCTCGGGAGGCTCAATGTCAGGGGCTCCAAGGAGCGTCGGCAACACTCTGCTGCGGGCGCCGGCGAGCTGCTGAGAGCTTGCTGCAGAACAGCTGCAAAACGGCTGCAGAACACGGCTGACGCCTCCAGCACCGGCCGCAGCTGTTCGAGCTGGGCAGCCGCAGCTGTTCGAGCTGGGCGGGGCGGCGGTGATGCGTCGTCTTAGCGACGAGTCACGGCACCGCGAGTAAAGAGCCAGACGGCTGTTGAATTCAGTCGGATGCAACCCGTGGAATACAACAGGCATAGTTTGAGCGTCATTCACGTTATTAAAAACAGAGGCCGTAGGGCTGGTGTAACTCACACCGGAAACGGAGGGGGGGGGAGGGGATTTCACTAACGGCTTAATTGGGAGGGGGGGGGGGGGGGGGCGTTTAAGGCGTGGACATCGTTAGAAATATGATGAAGCGAAATGATTTCATGCCATAACAAAATACGTGATTTTCAGCGCGAACAAAATGTACTTGCAGAAAAATCGCCATACCCAACGCTATGTTTGGTTTTCTCAATACTGCTAAAGCTGCTAGCTGCTAAAACTGCTAAAGCAGCACTGCTACTGCGATAAAATATTCTTCTCCGGCAGTACGGTTAGAGTTTGGTGTATATTTCAAGATTGCAGGCTGTATTAGCTGGTTGCACCACAAATCGTTCTGGTCCTCTGACGTAACACTGGACATAAGCCATAAGGACATATAAGGACATATCCCATGAAAACAATACGTTCTTATCGGCAGCCAGAGCATCAATAGCCAACCGCATGAAAATGCATGCCGTGTTATATCGCCAACCCACATTGCGGGCCTCTTTGTCTCACAACGATGGCAACGGTTCTGCGTCGCACCGTAGACAGCAGGGTGTGCCTCTACCTCTCACGAGCACGGTTGGTGCGGGGGGAGGGGGAGCGTGACCTCTGTATGCAGGCGAGAGGCCACGGCCGCGCCGCCGTCACAGCTGCTGGAGAGGCGCGGGCCGTGGGGTGGTGGACACCCGTCACCGAGACCACGCTAGGGTCGCATCGGGACGGGTAGACTCAGTCGTGGCAATTGCCATGACCCGACCCGACCCGACCCGACCCGATTCGATCCGATCCAATCTGATCCGATCCGATCCGATGCGACCCCAGCAACCGACCCGATTCGATCCGATCCAATCTGATCCGAACCGATCCGATGCGATCCCAGCAACCGACCCGATTCGATCCGATCCAATCTGATCAGATCCGATCCGATGCGATCCCAGCAAACACGATCAGATCCTGACCGAACCAAACTAAACCGAACCGAACACATCCGATCCCACCCGACCCGACCCGATCCAATCCGATCCGATCCAATCTGATCCAATGCGATCCGGTCCTGTCCGATCCGGTCCGGTTTGGTCCGGTCCGGTCAGACAGGTTTAGTTTGGTCCGGTCGGGCCCAGTCCGGTCCAATCCGATCCGATCCGATCTTATCCGATCCGATCCAATTCCATACGACCCGATCCTATCCAATCTGATCCCACCCGACCCGATCTGATTAGATCCGATCCTATCCCAACCGATCCAACCGGACCCAAACTGAACGAACCGAACCGAGCCGAGCCAAACGAATCAAACCAAATCGAACCAAATGAAAAAAAAAACGATCCGCTCCATACGTTATCCAAATCAAATTGTCTGCAGCCTATCCGTGGAATTACGTGTCATCCGAGTCGTTGCGAAAGCCTGTGAAACCGAGGAGGCAGTGAAAGCCAGTGGCTATCAAAGTCCTTTGTAAAAAGCACCAGAACTGACTTCATTACTTTTACATGACTCACAGTAAGCTATCACGTTATCGTAAGTGGTTATTACGTGCTACTTGCGAGACAAACGCACAGTAGTTAACAGCCTTCGAGTAGGATTTATCATTGAAAAATTGTTATGGCTGTTGGCAATTATAATTAATTTCCGAACAGAAGGAAGGTGGCTGTCAGAATGACTGTTCCGGTTTCTAGTGATGACCCCACGACACGCCCTTCGTTACCGTAAGGTGCAGCTCTGGCGGGAGTGTTGGTATACAAACGACCGTTCAAAAAGGAGTGCTCCTTGCCCTTCTATACGTGGAAGTGGTTGAGCCCGTCAACGAAACATTTTTAAATCAGTGAATTTACGGCCAAAAAGAACATCTGAAGTCCAAAGAGCACCTTTTAAATGCAACTCATTCAGAACGACTTAAACACTTCTACCAATGTACGTTTCTCTGCGCCTTAGGTTGCTGCCATCATGGTCCCCTGCGAGGAAGAATTCCATATCCGTCCCTTCCACTACCTGTGTAGAGGACTCCCTACAAGAGCCGTTTCTCCCCTCTGTTGTGAACTGGTGCCCGAGCTATCTCCGTGTGCTGTCAGAATTGTAGCCATGCTCACACCAGTACCCTGATATTTCTCAATTTTTTATCCGATTGGCAGATTCATCGGTTCGGCTTAAAGACCCGCGGGTTTATCTGGCCCACGAAGACCTCTAACCAAACTTGCACGCGGTGATGTAATGCCTGCACCTAGCTTTTCGTGGACGAAGAGGGGAAGATCTGGGACGGTCCGCAAAGGTCGCTGGAGAGGAAGGAAACTTCTGTAGAAAACCCGAAGCGACAGCCCAGCACGCATGCATAAGAAACCTGCACGTCTGTAGACCTAGCTTGACCCTTGCATTATGCCCTGATTATCTCAGGAAGTGTTGAAAATGAAGTGAGGCCTCTCTCACTGTGAAGCTGATAGTGCCTGTCTGCCCTCAGCTGGCATACTGCAAGTAGTTATGATTATCGCGCATTGCTTTAACATACGGCTCGTGTCGAAGCCGGCGTTTCTCGCTCAGCGTGGTATCGTAAGGAGATGGCTGATGGCGGGCAGATGAATCGGTCGAAAGCAGGAGGCCAGGACGCATTTCCCGCGCATGATAACACATATCTTCCAGAGAGGATGCTATTGAAACCATCGGATAAAATTGACGCCAAGGAAAAAGTAACGCTGCGTGACTCGATGAACTACCTCCTTCTCGTCGACGATGAAGCCACGATAACCAGGAAGCCCAAATAGAGCCGTCCTTGTCGGGAACGAGGCGCCCCGCCGCTCTTTGACACCTTGGCCTGAGGACTCCCTGGCCCAGTCGGTGGCCTTCTAAAAAATGATCCTCGAATAACTTCCCTGTCCGAACAGGCGTTTCAGTACTTTTCTCGGGAGGGCCACGTGGAATCCTTTAGTACAAGAACCAGCGGCCAGGCAGCCAGGAAGGCCGGACGGCTCCAGCACCGCGCTTTGATCTGTAACCGATACCGTGACGTCATGGCGGCTCATGAGGCGCGGCCGTGTGGCCGCAAACGTGGCGGCTGCGCGGCGCGCCGCGGTGAAACCATCTGCCACACAGCCTTCGGCGAGGATAACCAGCAACATCGCCGCGATATGGGTACCGGTCGGCCGACCTGCGACCCGAGCGACCCGAGCGAGGTCTGACCAACTGCCGCCTGACGCGGTCCCGACATCTCGCTGGCGACGGGACTCTACCCCAGCTGGAGACTCACTGATATGGCAGCTCCCCCCCCCCCCCCTACCCCACACACACCCGCCGTCTCCCGGCCGCCCACTGTGTCCCGGGGCGGCAGAGGCAAGCCCGCCCGCACGCCCGTCGCTGATATGGCAGCACCCCCCCCCCCCCCCTTACCCTACACACACCCGCCGTCTCCCGGCCGCCCACCTCGTCCCGAGGCGGCAGAGGCGCGCCTGCCCGCACGCCCGTCGCGAATGGCTAATGCCGGACAACTCACGTGGGCGGCGGCCATTGCCGGCAGGCGTCGGTGTCGCGGGCCGGCCGCCCCACCGACCGGCCCTGCTCACGCGCCGACTGACCCGGCGGCGACGCGTCGGCGGCGACGGCCGGCAGCGCGCCGGCGCCGATCTATGGGGAGCGAGCAGTTATGTGCAGCTACTGGTGTGGGTTGCACATGGAAAGTCCCGAAGCGCGTGAGTCAGCGCGGGGCGATCAATGATCGGCGACAGCGGCCACGCCGCCGCTGGAAAGTCCCTGGAAAGTGGCCAGTGGCGGTGCCAGGCGAGCACGACGTGGGGAGGGGCAACGACGTAATATGTCAATTATGCGAGGGAGTTGGTTGTGGTCAATGTCATTACTGACACCCCGCCACGACCCATTGCTGCCTCCGCCACTGCGGTGTGGGATCTCCAAGTCAAGTCTGGCTCCCTGCCTTCGTCAGGGAACCAGAAGTGTGTAAAATAAGTTGAAATATGCCTAACACTAAGGAATATGAATGGCATCTTGCTGGCCAAATGTGCTTGATGCCGGTGCGCACATCTAGATCGGACGTGTCCGATTCGGATTGCGGAACCAGTTCTCTAAAATTCGTCCTGGAGCACCGTATCTCATAACATTCTTGAATGCTTGGGGCGAGTGCATGGAATTGTGAAATTTTCAGCACCATCGCTTTTACTGACTGACGTTTGTGTACCTCCGCGCCAAAGGAGTGAGACGCGGATGCACACAATATCCAAAGACTTGACTCATGTAATCCTGACTAGATCCTGACAGAACTGCAAGATAAGAACCTCTCCTGATCCCGACATGAGTCATGGAACCTGAGAACGACTGGGTGGTGTTTGGCTTTCAGTCAAATATGCGGCACAATGAAAGATGAACAAAACAAACGAACAAACGAGAATGAGTTTCTGCTTAGAATTGCTGGGATTCGGACCGTGATCTCTCGTTACAAGTCCATTGCTCTGCCAACTGAGATAACCGATCATATTCGCCATTAGTTCAGCTGGTATAGCGGTGGTCTTGTATATAGAAAAGCCCAGTTCCAGCGAAATTCCAGGGAAAAAAACTCTGATTGCAACGCATACATGGCCGAAAGCCAAGCACCGTCCAGTCCCTCTGACGACGCAAGGACGCCTGACGACGGCCGGAGAATAATAAACTGGCAGAAACGTTGTGTTTCACGTAATACGCGGTGTACTGACACAAGACGAAGACCATAGTTCAAACAATTATCCCCCCCATGAGATTCCAAATATCCTTGCACTGTAATTTAAAGGAGCTTTATTCTCATTCCACATCCTATCGGAAGATACTACAATCTATCAGCAGCGCATGACTGGTAAGTGAACGGCGATAACAGACTCACGGCGTTCGAAGTGCACCGGGCCTGTCACCCCACACGCACACGAGCGCTGGCCAGAACTCAACAATTCACTTGAAACTGAACCATGAGTCCTGCAGAAGTATGCTTTCCACTAGCTACTTCTTACTGAGCAAGGTGTGTAGATAACGTGTGACTAGGTGAAACCCTTAAGACCTGAAAGGTGCAATGGTTTGTGAAAAAATAGACCGCATGGGTAACGCACTCCATGAAGATGACAAGCTGGCTTTCGTGACCGTGTTTGCCGATACTATACGCGGTCCACTACTACATGCCAACATTGGCGGGATTTGGCACGGCCAGGCGGTTTCGCACCGGAGAGACCCCACTGGTAGACCACCACTGCGGTACCGGTCTGCTGTAGTGACCACTGCGGTGCCGGTCTGCTGTAGTGACCACTGCGGTACCGGTCTGCTGTGGTGACTATGCGGTACCGGTCTGCTGTAGTGACCATGCGGTACCGGTCTGCTGTAGTGACCATGCGGTACCGGTCTGCTGTGGTGACTATGCGGTACCGGTCTGCTGTAGTGACCATGCGGTACCGGTCTGCTGTAGTGACCATGCGGTACCGATCTGCTGTAGTGACTATGCGGTACCGGTCTGCTGTAGTGACCACTGCGGTACCGGTCTGCTGTGGTGACCATGCGGCACCGGTCTGCTGTAGTGACCGTGCGGTACCGGTCTGCTGTAGTGACTGCCCTCTATTGATCATGTCGCACTAATGTCGCAGTATTGAGCCGGAGTCATTGATTGCATTCCTGTTAAATGGTAATCCATCAATGTCCAAGTGGAAGCCGTTGTCAAGTCGCGCGAAGGTCCTGCATAGCCAGCTCGTGCAAAACCAAATGTATTGCATAACGAAACCCTGGAGCTGGATTGGTGCAAGAATTGGACTCCGTCAAGCAATCGCCAAACATTGCTTAACATAACGCAGCATGTCGCGGGACAGGCAGCAGTTCATGTAGACGTTCATCGTCATATTCTCCAAAACAAAACACACATCGCTTTTAAGAGAGCTATTGCAAAGGGATGCTGCTCAGAATGTTGAATTCTCGCCCGTACTCGCCGCTTCCCCCTAAAACTAATGGCCAGAAGGAGAGGGGGAGCTGGATCCATACCCTGGCATTGCCAAACTATGAATGGCGAAGATAAAAAAGAAGCGGATTGACGTCACTAAGATTCTGCTAATGGTTGCAGGGTTTGCATTGCCAGGTGAGCAAATGAAGCCACCAAGCTAGGTTAGAGATATTTTCACCAAAAATCAGACAAATTCAGTTTCACACCCCAATTTTTACAAATGATACAATGAAGAAATGTAAGACTCATACAAGCGTTCTCCTCGGTTAAAGGGGCGTTCCAAATTTTATGACGGTTCAAACTGAAAGGCCCATTTTGAAGATCATTCTGCGCAGCTCACAGCCCTGCCCTTCCTAAGACCTAAAACCCCCTAGCTTCTGAGCTACATGCCCACGAAGATGTGCTCAACGTCATTCAGTCACGCATGGCGCCATAGCAACGTCATTCAAATCCTGCCACCCCGTTGGCCAAGTGGCGTTCAAGGCCAGGAAGAATATTATCGTCACGCCCTTCATATCTGAAATCCATGAGCAGGAGCTGCAAATATGCTTTTAATCACGATCTGTGGAGGGGTTATTTTGATAAGAGCCCTTCCGACCATCACTGATCATTTCAGGGCTATGGGATGAACGAGAATGGATAACGATGGGACAGGACCACATGCGGCTGGGGGTTAAACATCGAGTCTTGGCCTGAGCAGGGATTCTTCTGCGGGACATGCGCCGAACGCCCGGTCGGGGTTCCCCTCCAAGGGGCCTTCGGCCCACTCGTGGCTGACGCATGCTGCATGTCCCGGACAAGCGGGGCGTCGTGAGGATTTAGAATCAAGCAAGAAAGAGAATGATATGATCGGATCAATCGCGAATCACGTTTTGTGCCACATGACATAAATCAAACATTCGTCTTAGTTATTACGGAAATCAGACTCGGAGTCAAATTGGTGAAGACTAAAGCTATAACCGAGTATGCGAATTCAAGTAAACGTCTTAGGCTCACGGATAAATAAGCAAGAACACCACTAGAGAAAGCCAAAACACGAGCATATGACGGAATTTGGCTCAATGAACACTTTCAGACCACCACTGTCATCTCACAGTGAATTTGAGACATTACGAATGGGCATTGGAGTGATAATGTCTACAGTTAGTTTGGCAGCACCTCGACGTGATACACGCGTTCCATGACACAATCAAGCGATGAAGTATCGAGGAGTATGTGCATTGAATAAAGAAACTGTGTGGTCCTGAGCCGTCTTTCCGCCCCAAAAATGTCAATAATTATAAGTGAGCTTATTTCATTGCGTCTGAGGCTTGTTTCCATGCCTTCAGATGTGGAACATTCCCTTCAATTTGGAGCAGATTGTTATGTGGACTTTTGGCTTTACAAACATGTTTTCTAAGATTTTATGAGGTATTATGATGTAAATGCTTCGTGAGTATAAGTGTCGTCTTCGTCAACCATGATCGGAGGACTCGTTTGTTATCGCAAAGGAGAGCGCGGAAAGGAAATAACGCTCCCTCTCATGTAAAGCATTTAAGTGGTCTCACTGTCAACAGTTTTTTTTTTTAGGCAGACGTTTCTTTTAAGAGCCTTGACTGGTTTCAGAGTGGTTGGTAGCCTCACGATCTCAGTGAGCGCGGCAGACGGAATGAGGGTGTTATAACAAAGTCTATCTGCTGTCGGTATCGAACCGTCTTTTTTCACCGTCTTTAATAATGTTCGAAGGTCTCAGCAGTGGTACTGCATTACCTTCCAGTGCTGGAGCGGTTTATGTAGCATTATTGTACATGAGCCCAGATAAAGTTGGGCTGATAACAGATATGTTTCTATTAAGCCGCGGTGTTAATTCTCGCATGGAATGACAATTTTTCATTCTTGACCTGTAGCTAGTCGGTCGTCACCGCCACAAAGGTTTGCTCGATGCCCATGCTGCCTGAGCTGATGCCTTGCAGGCGACTTTGGTCCGAAAACTTCATGCCTTCGTCCAGGTCTTTGAAACTCTTTCAATTTTTGTCAAAGCATCCATGAAGTTTGTGTGCAAACGGAATCAACTGATATCCAGCGCCGATCCTGGACGCCGATATATATATATATATATATATATATATATATATATATATATATACGACGGCGATATACATAAATGTTCTGGTAAACTGTTAAACTGTTTAAACTGTTAAAGAGCCCCATAAAGCTGCGCATCCATTTTTGGACAATTTCCCTAATGGACTTTGTAAGGTTAGGAGAATTGAAGGCACAAAGGCTCAGAGAGGCATGCTCAAAACTATCAAGGCTCAGAGAAAAACATTGATATATTAATTGCACTAGTTGGCAGAAATTTTCATCTGGAAATGGTCAACGCACATACTATTGGCAGATTGTATTATAAAGACCATCAAGGCAAATATAACATTTCATCCCTAATTTGTCGTCTCGATTTTACCAGCTGTATCACCAGCCATCTTGGAGGGAATGCTCCACATTTGAAGACATTAAGGCAAGCATCAGATATGATGCCATAATCTCACATATAACTATTGGTAAACTTTTAAATGGACGAAACTCTACAC